AATTATTGCATGTGAGTGTCCTCCATGTCTCTTAAGTTCTTGTCCATTTTAACTTACAAAATTGTGAAGTCAGGATGAGATCTGGTTCTAAGCTTTCCTTCTTATTGCCTTACTACAAGATTTTACCCTGTACTTTAAGTAGCACATTATAAGAAGGCTTTATTCAATGTGAATACAGGTAGCATAATCTGAAAGAGCTTTTTGATGATTTTCCATTGAATATTTTATTGAGTTCCAAAAATACTGATTATTTCTTTATGAACAGTCTTTCCTTCATCCAGTGAAGGGTTATTTTAAATACCGGGGTGCTAAACTTAATTTATGAGTGTGTCACATACAGAATTATATCATGGTTTACTCTGCCTCATTACACAAGACATGAAAGCACTCCTTCATGCTGATGCACCATGTCACTCAGTGTAGTGCAGGGAAGAACATGTGCTCTTCAGCAGTGTCAAGGGAAGTCATATACCAGCTGACGCTGCTTCTGATGCGTGAACAACTATACCTTTCCTATAGGATAAGGAAGAGCCTAGGGAGAAAATTGTATTCTCTAAGCAAGAATGAAGTTGTGGTTTAGACCACATATACCGAGTGTTCATAAACATGAAAAGTCAATGAGTGACCTCGAACCAGGGGAAGTTATTGAGTGAAGGCAGAAGAAATGTATCCCCGTGATACTTGATCAAGTAGAAAAGAGAAAATTAATGCAGACATATATATATGTATGTGCAGATTGACAACAGAAGCCTGATTCTATAGGCCATCTTGTGGAGCTGAATGATAGAACTGAAATCTCATCTTCTGATGTTTTCTGGTCTTCCTGACAGAAACAGAAAATTAGAAATGAGTCACCAGTGGTACCCGTGTAGACACTAATACCTGTGAACATGCAGGGCACACTGTCATCACTCTGAACTTTTCTTAATCTAGTAGCCCACCGTGGTGGGGTAACTTGTCACTGTCCCCGTGTCAGCAAATTCCATTTTTTTGCAGTCTTATTACACTGAGGCTCATTTGGTAATATTGTCAATTGTTCTCCTTCCTCACCCCACTCCCCATGCAGAAAGTTCCTCTGATGGTTAGTTTTGTTTTCCATGAATTCCAGACAGTGGAGGACCCTTTTGTAGAAAGGTCCCCCAGTTTTCCCAGCCAAGGGGACACTACAGAGAAAGGATAAGCAATAAAAATAACACCACTCAAACAGAACTTTTGAAGACCACCTCTGCTATGGCTGCTGTGAAAAAAGGTGTAAAGCACTGAGATTACATTTCCGGGGGAAGGCTTATGAAAGATAGTTGAGCCATTTTGTATGTTAATCATACATTTGCTTTGGAGTCTAAACTGTTTTGCAGTTATCTAGTACCGACAGCAAAAGTAGACAGTGGAAGATGAAGAAATTTGTTCTTAGGTAAGAGAGGTCTTTGGTGTGTTTTCATAGACTTCAGAAGACTGCTAACAATTACCGCCAACAATGAATAGGACATGCTTTTCAAATGTTAGTAATTATGTTGCATAGCTAGCCTGTGTATTTTTGTAGCACATTTGCCCACAGGTTTAAATAATATAAATGGAAATTGTTTTAACATGTTTCATGAATCTACCTCTAAATTAATGTCCCGCAGAAGGTACAATGTTGTTGGTCTATTACAGATCCTGTGACTCTTAGTAATTACAATTCTACCTTTGGAATATGGTGAAGTTAGTTTGGGATAAATATTTAGTGGGCAGAAAAGTCCAATTTTTATTTTTTTTTGCTGAAAACTGACAAGAGGATGAAAACACTCACCTGGAGATGTTCTCCTGCTATGCATAAAGGTGTTAGAGGATAGTATTTCTTTCTCCCATGTTTTTTAATCAACTGATTGTTAGAAGACTCATTGAGATAATTTCTGAAGAGTTCTTTTGTTCTTGCACTTAATCCTCTATTGTTGTTGTACTCCTTGTCACGTTATAACTTTATTACTGCAACTAAATATATTTATACACTCTCCTACAATACAATTGAGTTGAAGTAAGCACGCAACAGTGAGAAATGATAGTTAAAAAATCCTCAGTAATATATTAAAAATAGAAAATTAATTACAATTAATATTTTTTTGATAGAAGTTTTCCAAGAGACCAAGTTTTTATTGGCTTTCTAAAACAAGTTTGTAAGAAGCTTCATGAAACATAGGCCCTGAATATAAAAAGTTAATATCTTGCAACTATATTAATGTAATGTCTAGAATATTACATTACTTTGTTTCCAGAGATAATCAATGATGTTAATATAATATCTGCCTCTCAGAGCCAATGTATGATTTGAATTCATTATTGCTTATAAAGCACTTTGAAGTCTTTAGCAGTAAGGTGTTGCAAAGTGTAAAAGTACTATTATTAATTTAACATCACCATTAAAGTCAGTACTTTAGGAGCATTTGCTGTACTCGGCTCAATATCTTTTTATTCATCATATGCTGCATATTAGTTATTTTAACATTTAGAAAGCTTAGTAATCTGGAAGTATTCCAAACCATTGTTCCAGACAGCAGTTAGATATTTGGGTGGATCATGTAAAAACAGTGAAATGGCTGAGAAAGCATGTAAAATGTTTGTTTTAAGTAATATTACATCAATGGAACAGACATCTGCAGCACTGGATTTGATTTTAAACTACTTTAAACTTTTTTGAAGTTAATATTGTACTATGTTTTTCTAAAATTGATTGGGGGGGCTAATATCATGTTATTTCTAAACAAGTAGACTTTTATCTTTTGTTCAGTTTTCATTTCTGTTTCTGAAATATTTGTGGGAAATCAGATTTACAGTGGGCAGTTCTTAGGAGGTGGTGAACATCTGCCACTCAGTATTATTGTTGCTGTTTGGTTTTGTAAGCTAGCATCAGATATCAAGATCTGTATTATCTTTTTTTTTATTTTCACTAATGTCATATCTTGTATAAGACTATTTAAAAATATGAGCAGTGGTGGGCCTTGGAGGCTATAGCATCAGAAAAGAGTATAAAATCTGTCTTATCATATAATGATTATGTGCCATAAAATAATGCTGTGTATTTATACAGTTGTTTATCTATAATATTATATTCTAAATTGTCCCAGATGGAGAAAAAGAAATTTTAGGGATCCTGTCCTCCATATTTCTGAGTACAATTGTCTTGAATTTGTGTTTAGCTCTGGAGTTCGGCTCTGGAGTTCAGTGTACTGGCTTTGGAGCCAGTTCTAAACTGGGTAAAACACTCTTAGAGCTCAGGGTCCAACCAAGCTCCCCAGCCCTACAGAGGTAGGTGGGGAGAGCAATCAGGTGAATAACAGATATGTCTTTGTGAATGGTATAAGCAGATGTTCCAGATTTCTGAAAGCAATATGAATTTAAAAGCCAAATGTGCAAGTAAATCAATTAAAAGATTCACCTGTAAGCAGTTTGCTGAGTCGGCAGTGAGGAACTTCCATTTTCACCGTATAGTTGAAAATGAGGACATTAATTACAGGTAATGTTTTCTGAGTCTTCTCCTTGTGGTAGACATTTTATTTAAAAGTACTACTTGCGCTACTAGTATTAGAGGAATCCTTTCTAGGTACTGGAAATTAATTTCCTTCTCTTCTTTGAATTTATTCTACATTCTGAAATTAATTTAATATGTGCTGCAAGTGAATTAACCATTGAACCCTTTGATTTCTCTTGGGATTACTAAATCAGGTAACAAACAGGTTTATTATCCCTAGAATGAAATGCCATATGGCTCAGGTTCACTCATGTTATTTTCAGATATATGCTAGAAGATTAAAGTATGTTCTTAATAAGAAATTACACATTTCAAGCTCATTTTATGATGTATTAATAATAAGAAAAAAGTCTTCCTCTTGTATCAGCTAATTGGTTAGTTGTGTTTCCAACAAATGCTTCATTGTATAAGAAAACTAGCAAACTTCATACTTAATTCTGCACATTTCCAGACACAGGAATATCAGCAAAACTGATCAAGTATGTATTCATGTTTCCAAACAAGTTTAGGTTGAGATATTTTCTAAAGATGTATTAAAATCTTGAAATGTAGACACATTGTTCCTAATTTACATATCACTGGAAATATTTAAAAGTAATTCACATAAATAAATTTATATCTTTTTAATGTTCATTGTAACTCCTGTTGATATTAATGATGGCACATATATGCTTTTCTTTTTAAGTTTAAACATTCTCAAAGGCAAGGAGCTATTTGCAAACTATAGGATGCCGTATATAGAGCTAAATAAATAAATAAATAAATTCCTCTTCACTGCAGAGCAGTCAGTCACATCAGTCATTAGCACAGTAACAATGTGGTTGCAGGGCAACTTAAAGGTTTTTAACCACAGGCTGCCTTAGTAATTCAGCAAACACTTTAAACCAGCACATCAGGCGGAGCTGCTACTGCAAGAAACCACCCTGCCCTTCTTCTGCCTCCAACAGCCCATTCTCATGAACATCCCTACATGGTCCTACAGGTGCTGGTGCTGGCATAAGCAACAGAGCAGCGGGAGAATACAAACAGCAGCTGTTGGTGGGAGAGAAAACTAAAACTACTTCTGGTGGCAAAGGTGCTTATACAGACTAGTTTCAATTATTTGTGAAAAAACAACCTAAATTACTGTATCAGAAAGGAGGTATAAAAAATGTAGGGTAAATAGTGATTGTGCTACTATTTTGAAGTAGGATCTGTTCCTCATGGTTTGTAGGTCTCGAAACATTGTTCAGGTTGTGTATTCTGTGCTAGCCACAGTGTTAAAATACAAATTTGAACTTTTTAAAAAAGAGTTGGGGAAGAGGAAAAAGAGGGGCGCTTCAGATCTGCTTTGTTTCTAAATAAATTATGCCATTTCATTTACAGTTACTGGGAAAAGAAAGGTATTGCTTCTAAATTCTTACTTTGTTTTTCACTGTAAAATGTATTAATGAAAATTATATATGTGTCAAACCCATTTTAGAGTAATAAGAATGATCTTTGGTTTTATTTTCAGCACCAAAGGGAATACTCCATCTCTCTCCTGATGTTTATCAAGAGATGGAAGCAAGCCGCAACAAATCAGCCCCTGGTACCACTGTAAGCTATTTGTCATCCAAAGAAATGAGCCAGACTTCCAGCTCTTTCTTCAGCATATCTCCTACAACAAATAGCACGGCTACGATTGCCAGGGAACTTCTCATGAATGGAACGTCCCCAACTGCTGAAGCCATAGGTCTAAAAGGAGTATCTCCTGCTTCCCCCTGTTCTACAGTGCAGCCTTCAAAACAACTGGAGTATTTGGCAAGGATTCAAGGCTTTCAGGTATGGGAGGGGGAAAATGAAGCTCTTCAGCCAGAATCGTAGCATTGCCATCAAGGTTTCACTCTTGCCCTCTTGAATGTGGGCATGCATGTAACTTATCTTGTAAAATTAGATGGTGTCCGAGGCAGTTTCTGGGTCCGGGAGATACAACTCTGCACCAATATACGCATCCCTCCTTCTCTTTATTGTTCCTTCCGTACATTCATCTTACTGCAGCCCATCTTTCTCTTCTTTGTCTTCTCTTCAAATAATTACAAGCTTAAATTATGCCTTTTACTTGCACTTCTTTGAGAGTCTTCATCTCTTCGAAATAGAAGCTTTACATACTGCTTTGGCATTGGTTTCTCCCTTCAACTCTGATCCAGAAGGTACCAATGAACCACCTTACCTTTGTGTTTGTTGTCTAGGCTGGGTTATTAATTTCTTTGCTTACCACCCTGCACTTCTTAGTAGTAACTTGATGTTGTGGTTTAGGAATGGTACTTACCAGTTTAGTGCTCCCATTGAGACTCTCCAAACCATGAACCGCTTGCTCACTCCCCCTCCCCTGTGATGGACTGGAGAGGAGAATTAGAGGCACAAAAGGTAAAGATCACAGATTGAGATATGAACAATTTACTGGAAACAGCAATGAGATAAGAAAACTAAATGTAACAGCAACAGTGCTAATGACAGAGGGTGTAAGAAATGAAGGATTCACACGGAAAGCCCTCGACAACAGACAATATCCAACCTCTCCCTCTGCCATGCTACTGGAAGGGACCCTGTTCTCCCTGGAAGAGAATTGCTTCTCCTCACCCCTGGCAATGATATGAGGTGGTGTAGAATAACTTCTGGGTCCTAGCCATGCCCCCATCAAGTACTGCAAAAATTAACGGTCTCCTGGCTGGAACCAGGACATTATTCACCCTATGACATGCCCAAATCCTACACCTTCCGACTATATACATGTAGATAGATAGACAGGTAGATAGACAGATAGATAGATAGATAGATAGATAGATAGGCACATATACACAAGCACAGGTATCCTTTCCAGAGTCAATGGCTGTCCCTTCAAGATGTCTGTTGAGTTCATTTAGTCCATGACTGTGGATTCCATCTGTCTTAGATGTCTCCCAGGGCAGGAGGGCTGGTATGCTCTTGGCTGATTGCAAGCTGCATCAGGAGCTCACAACTGGTGTATCTGGAGCAGTCCATCCTCACTGTCCATGGTAATTATGGCATACAGAGGCCATAATTGAGCAACCAGTACTACACAGTTCAACATTACAGACTGTTCTCACCCAGAAATCAAATTCCCTTGAGGTACACATCGTGTTTCTTCATCCCTCTGCATTACCCACCAAATGCACCCAGATCCTTGAGCAAAAACAACCCCACAGATACATTTGCCTTTGCTTGAGACAGGACTAATCCAAACTATCTTCTCTAATGCATTCCTCATATGCACCATGGAGAGTTTATCCCCTTCTACAGTACATGGAGGTTTTGATTGGGCAGGACCAGCTTGATGGGTAGAGCCTCTATTGTTAACTAAGCAAGTGGCCTTTGTTAAATGTGTATCCCAATGTTTGAAGGTCCCACTGCCCATTGCTTTCAATGTGGTTTTTAACAGTCCCTTATACCATTCAGCTTTCCCAGATGCTGATGCATGATAGGGAATATGGTATACCCACTCAGTGCCGTGCTCTCTGGCCCAGGTCTCTATAAGGCTAATTTTGAAATGAGTTCCATTGTCCAACTCAGTTCTCTCCGGGGCACCATGTTGCCACAGAACTTGCTTTTCAAGGCCCAAATGGTGTTACAGACAGTGACGTAAGGCACAGGACGCGTCTCCAGCGATCCAGTGGTTGCTTCTACCATGTAGAGCTGTAGTCTGTACTCTGGATAACTTGGGTGATGGTGTCCGTGGTTAAGTCCACCCCTGGATTATGAGCCCATCTGTATGTCGCATCTCTTCCCTGATGACCTGAGGTGTCATGGGCCCACCAAGCCTGAAATAACTCATCCTTATGTTGCCAGTCCATGTCTGCCTGAGACACTTGAGTCTTGGCAGCTCAATCCATTTGTCTGTTGTTATGATGCTCTTCAGTAGCCTGACTCTTGGGTGCATGTGTATCTACATGATGGACTTTTACAGCCAACTTTTCTACACAGGCAGAGATGTCTTGCCACACTTCAGGAGCCCAGATGGGTTTACCTCTGTGCTGCTGATTGGTCTTTTTCCATTGGTCTAGCCACCCCCACAGAGCATTTGCTACCATCTGCTAGTCAGTGTAGAGGTAGAGCACTGACCATTTCTCTCATTCAGCAACATCTACAGCCAACTGGACAGCTGTCAGCTGTGCAACCTGACTTGATCCACCTTGTTCCTTCAATAGCTTCTGCAACTTGCTATGTAGGGCTCCATTTGGCAGCTTTCCATTTTTGATGTTACCCTACAATACAACAGGAACCATCAGTGAAGAGAGCATATCGCTTTTCAGTTTCTGGTAGCTGATTATATGGTGAGGCCTCCTCAGCATATGTCACCTTCTCCTCCTCTGATAATCATGATAGTCCCAAATTTTCACCTTCGGGACAGTTCGTGATGACTTCCAAGATCCATGGGCAATTGGGGTTTCCTATTCGAGCTCATGTGACCCACTTACTCCACGTAGCATGGGTGGCATGATATGTGGAAAGGACTTTCCCTTTGAACGTCCAGCCCAGCAGTCAGGGCACCAGGAGGGCTGTGCTTTGCTGACAATCACTTCTGAAGCAGCTCAAACCCCTTCATAAGCTGCCAGTATCTCTTTTTCAGTTGGGGTGTAACAGTCTTGGGTCCTTTGTATTCTCACTCCAGAACCCCACGAGTCACCCCTGGGTACTTTTTGCCAGAGACTCCAGGAAGGACCATTCTCCCTGGCTGCAGTGTTGAGTGCATTTTTCACATCTTGCCCATCCTGACTGGCCCAAGGGCTACTGCATGGGCAATCTCCTGTTTAATTTGTTCAAAAGCTTATTGTTCAGGACCCCACTTAAAATCATTCTTCTTCCATTTCACAATAGAGAGGGCTTACAAACTGACTGTACTCTGGAATATGCATCCTCCAAAAACCCTAGGCGCCTAGGAAAGCCTGTGTTTCTTTCTTGCTGGTTGGTGGGGACATAGCTGCTACTTTGTTGACCAAGTCCATTGGATTCTGACAATGTCCATCTTGCTATTTTACTCCTAAAAACTTAATTTCCTGGGCAGATCTCTTGACCTTACTTTATGGCAAAACCAACCTTCAGGAGAATTTGGATTATCTTCTTCCCCCTTCTCAGAAATTTCCTCTGCTGTTTTGCCCCACATGGTGATGTCATCAATGTATTGCAAATGTTCTGGAGCCTTTTCTAGTGCAGTAGGGATCAGTCTACAGCAAATAGTGGAGCTGAGTTTCCCCCACTGGGGCAGTCAGTTCCAGGTGTACTGGACACGCCTCCAGGTGAAAGCAAATTGTGGCCTGCAGTCTGCTGCTAAGGGAATGGAGAAAACCACATTAGCAATATTGATGGTGGCACCGCTTTACTCCAGTTTGTACTGAAGTTCCAGCATGCCTGGTACAGCAGCACTCAATGGTGATGTGACTTTGGTCAGGCCACAATAGACTGAGAGACTCTCAGTCTCCACTCCCCAGTGGACTTACTCACAGGCCATATAGGACTATTAAAGGGTGATCAAGTCTTGCTGACCACTCCTGGGCTCTCCAGTTCATGAATCATCTCAGCAATGGGGGTCACGGAGTCTCGGTTGGTGTGGTATTGCTGACAGTGCACCATTCCAGTGGCCATCAGTAACTATTTTTCAACCCTCAGCAGTCCCATAGCAGAAGGGTTCTTTGAGAGACCAGGCAAGGTATTCAGCTGATTTCCTCTGTCTCCACAGTAGCTATCCCAAGAGCCCAATAAAGCCCTTTTGGGTCCTTGAAATGGACCCTCTCCTGATGTAATCTGTGCCAAGGATGCACAGGGCCCCTAGGCCAGTGTTATGATCCAGTTATTAAAATTATTAGAAATGTCTTTGCCCAAATTAAGGTGCAGATGAGACCGTATGCCAGAGTCAATAGTATGGATTTTATTTAACAGTAGATGTGAGGCAGAGAAAGAGAGAGAGACAGAAATAGAAAAAGGATGGGGGGGACAAGAAAGAGCGTGACAGAGAAAGATTAAAATAGAAAATGTATCACCACTCTGTGGACCCAGTGGCGTTCCGTTCTTCTGGTCTTCTTGGTGGTGAGGGTCCCACACAACATAGAGTCCAATGGATTAATATACATTCAGATGTCCAGGCACCACCCCTGGCAGGGAAAAGCTCTACAGTCTCTTGCGACAGGCTCTGGATTTGTTGCATCACTTGGATCACATGCAGTCCTCTTGTGGTGGAAGATGTCAGGAATGAGTCTGGGGTCTTTAATGGTTTATGACCCCTTCTCAGGTGCCTCTCATGTGAATGCCCTGTGTGTACATGGTCTTCCTGGGAGTGGTTGGAGATTACTCCTTTGGTTTAGTGTGGAGAGATTTCGCAATCACACACCCAAAACTCTTCTCCTCCACCACCTGATGAGCCTTGTTTACTTCTCCTCTGACCTGAGAAAATTAGGCAATAGTCTTATCTGAAGCTCCCATCACAGTCCAGATTCCGATCATGAAGCATGTTTGGGAGGGGGGTGCTTCGATGATCGCAGACAGGCAGTTGCTTTCTCGCAGTTTGACAAAAAGTCTTTCTGTGATTTTGGCAGTGTTTAAGACATTAACAACAATTGAGTCCATCACAACCAGTCACAATGGGGTGTTTTTGCCATTCATTCTCAGTCAGGCTCACTTTAGCTTCTAGTACAGTCAGTTGTTGTGTTCCCCTTGTCACCCCAGCAATAGAGATGGATTCTGCCCCTACATATCATATCAGGATACACTGTGCGCCGATGTCAACTAAAGTCTTACACTCTTCTGGTTCTGATGTGCCAGGCCACTGG